GGGAAGGGGGGGGGGGGGGTCTTTCTTGTGTACAGAACTTGGTATTTGCATATAACAGCAATTGTTAAGATTTATACTGAACTAACTTTTCCAGTAGCCTCCGTTAATGTGTACTAAACTTGGCATTTGGTAATGATTTCTTTATATTCTTTTGGATAAAATATTATGGATCACAATGTAGCTCTGGCAACCATGGTTAGAAGCAATGTTATTTAAGGCGCACTAAGCCACCAAGGTCCCTTGGTGCTTAGGCACAGTCCTCATTGAAGTAAGGCACAAGTTATACATTACATGCAACTGATTTTTCAAAACATGACGTAACATCAAAAAACCCAAAATATAGACAAATATTTAAAAAATTCCAACATCATAAAATATCCAAGTTCCAAATATTCCACACAGAGGCTGATTTCAATAACCAGAGGTTCATTTCATAAACACTTGCATTTATTGAAACCACCTTAATTTAGATAAATGGGAACTTTTTAATACAGAAACAATGTTCTTACTTCTCAACTTTCCAATTTATGTAACGTCAATCCGTATGTGTTATGACAATAATAGAGCGTTCAACTGATTTACAAAATCAGTTCAGTTATTCACAAGAACAGAGATATCATTTATCAAAACAAGCAGTTGAGTCCAAATAATTAAGACAAGTATGATACTTGAATTACTTGAGCCAAAACAGGGAGGGAGAAGAGGCGACTATTAGGGCTTTCTTTTGGCATTGAATTGGCTTAGATTAGATTTTATAATATTTTTTGTGTATCACTCACACCCAACACATCGTGTACTTCCACAATGATAATTGACCCACATGCATTTGGAAGAGAAAAAGACAAAACAAAAAGTTTTCACTAAAGCGCGCCTGATAAGTGCCTAAGCGCACTAGGTTTGTGCCTTGTTGGCGTGGCCTTGCCTAGTTTTGGCAAGGCGGGGGCCTAAGTGTGTCTTTAACAACACTAGTTAGAAGTACCAAAGGATAGAAATGTTTATCGTCTTAAATGTGCTAGTAGCCCTGACAAAGTGCAACACGACCCGATTATTCGACATGAAATTAGCGGGTTTAAGTTGACCTTAATGGGTTCAAGTGATAAATAGGTGGACCCACTGCTAGTTACACGAGTTGTGCTCGGGTGAAGTATATTAACCGATTTATCACCCACCCGTTTAAATTTTAAATAGCCATGCCTAGGAATTGGGTCTAGAACATGTTCAATTTTAATTTTAGAAGTCCATATCCTATTCCTAGCCCAACCCATCAGCAGTTCAGCATACATAAGAGTTTTAATTTTAAATAAGCACACATAGGAATTGGATGTTGAAAGTGGAGTATTTTTTTCTATTTGTTTTCCTTTTTTACTTTGTAGTATGTTAGTGGTGAAATTTGGTTTTTTATGGATATGTTGGATGCTTGAATTTGGTGTGTACATAATTTTTTATGATAAACGGGTCTGTAATTGTGGCGGGTGGAAGGGTTAACATGTGAACCCGAAATTGACAAACCATTTAGTTGGCAGGTTTCATGGGCCATGTTCGTTTTTTTTATTTTCACTCGTTTAATTAACGATTTTCGGGTTGAGTATTTTTTACACCAATCCGTTTAACTTGATACGAAGCCGCTTAACACCTTAACCTGACATGATTGTCAGGCTTATGTGCCAGTAGAATTCTCCAACATCTAGATTGATGCACTGGTTCAAGTTCCCCTGATAATCTATGATACAGAGAAAAGTAAATTGTCCTATTTGTTTTGGATTTGAATCGGAGTTTTTCTTTATCCTTTATTTCAGGAAACATAATATTTGTTTCTCCTGTACAGTCCTTCAAATTTCTCCATTATATACCAATGTTTCTGATAAGCTTCCATCTGTTAGAAATGTTATGGGAAACTTAAACTCTAATTTCACCTCTTTATGTTTGGGACTTGGAGATAGAGAAAGTATATTAGCATTGGCAGCAAAAGTCCTTGATGTTCTAGTTCTTGTTCATTTTGATCCTTGTGCAGTCCTTTATCATTTGCGCTTTGAAATTGTATTTTTTTCCCCTCTATAACATTTGTGGATGATTATTCCCATGTCAAATGGAAAGTGGGTTTATGCCATGTTGAGTATTACACAAGAAGTTTTCCCTCAACTTGGGACTAAAAACTGAGATCGATCTATATGAAGTGTTAAAAAGATGGCTTAGTGATTGGCCTCTTCTTGCTTTAATTGGGTTTTGAACATCAAATCTCCTCTTGGAAGTTCTGTGGATAGGATTGCTGAAAAAATAATTGAGAACTACTACATAGGCTCCTATGATGTGGTAGATCTTAGCCCTTTACACCGGTTTGGAAGATTTTATCCCTCATGTTTGAAATTTCATGAACTCTGTTAATTGAATTTAAGTCATCCAAATTCGGGGATCTGAAAAAACAGCTGGGTCCCGTCTCTGTGAGGGATTATATCCTATCACCATCACTAGGTTTTGAAGTGAAATTGTCATACTTCGGTCATAATGTATGTAACTCCTCTGTTATACTTGAATGGTTAAATAGTAGTTCATTGTCATCAATTTATTGATGGTAGATATTTTCCTATATGCAGGTGATTTGAAACTACATGAAGCTGTTATGATTCAATTGAAGAAAGATCTCCCTTCCATCTGAATATGTGACAATCCTAGGTATTTGGAACTTCGGGTTAGTTTTGCTTGTCTAACTTCATGTGTTTATGAGGCAACAAAGAACTATGCAATTTGCAATGTAATTATATTACTTTTCACCTGCAGAAACAATGCTAGATGTTTACACTTGCATTGTTTAATCTCCCATAACATGCATACTACAACTCATAAACGGCTCATTGTAACTAGAAATGTGTACCAGATGATGTTGCCCACTGCCCTTTGTAAATTTTTGAAAAGTTCTCTTTTGAAGATTTTCAATCTTAGCATATTGTGAAAATTTTCTAGTGCCTCGAGTGTATATGATTTGCAGTACAGATCTTGCAAAGAAGCTCCATGGCAGCCATGAATTTCTTATTTGAATTTTGGAGGTGGTTATTTTTTGTGAATAATGTAAAACTTTTAGAAGAGAACGTAATCCATTGCTTGCAGCATCCTAGATTAACATTGTATTAATGATCAGGTTAGATAGCAATATTTAATGTCCAGAACAAAGTTCTGCTGGTAGGGGTGGCAATGGGTCGTGGTGTATCATAATTTTTTTCACTTTGTATATGGTTCATATATATTAAAAGTTGCACATGATCGTGTATAATTGAGTTCATGTTAAACTATTTATTTTGTGGGTCTGATGAGTCAATTTTTTTAAATTCATTGAGGGTAACCCATATTCAAGAACTTCGTGTCAGTGTTGTATTGTGTCGTGTCGATTGTGTTGGATTGGCTGGTCTTGCAAAGAATTGTCAACCTTTACACCGGAGAGACCTTTTGCTTTTGGTTAAACATAACAACCTTTTGTTGCTGACAAAACTTCAACCTGAAAAGAACTGCAGCATTGAAATATGACACAGAGAAGAGAGATTAGTCAAGATAGAGAAGAAAATCAGCAAAATAAAATTCAGTATGCAATTGGGTACTTATTTTTTATTTTATTTATATTATTTTTGGTCACACACTATTACAGGCGAGGGTGACAACGAGGTTTGAACTCGCGACCTTAAGATTCAATAGTGGAGGTGATGATCATTAGGTCAACTGCCAACCTCTCCATGTTCTTATTTCACTACCTCAGTATACGAATGTTTGGTTTGGGTTCAGGCATAGTATGGAATGTGATTAAAAATTTGATTTCAATCTACTCGATAGTGGCGGTAATAACTGATAACCATTCTATTCTATTTCTATTATATCATGTTTGGATTAAGGTTTGAATAAAGTATGAGTTCATGTTCTAGTTTCAATTTTGGAAGATTAATATATGATAATAAGTTTAAAAAAAAACAAGACAAATATTCTACGTTAATGTATAACTCCCTCAAGCTTATACATTGAATATTTTAGCCTCTTTTGGGCGTTGAACTCTTTTTTTCCGTCGGTGTTTTTTTAAGGGTTTATTACCCTATACCCCTTCCAACTTTAGGTCATGTGCAATCAATTCCCTCTAGTTTTAATCCTCAAAGTTTGAATATGCTTCAATTAACCCAAACCGTTAATTTTGGCAGTGAAAAATGATAGAAGTTAGTCATGTGCAAGTCACATGACCTCAAATAAAAATATTAAGGGAGATTTACACCCAAATTTTTTTATGTTTGTCAGTTAATTACTTAGATTTTTTGACATTTGAAATATTACACACAGACCCTCTGAAGTTTGTACGTGCATAACACTTAGACCCCTTTTGTAAATATATCCGTTTATAAATTATACTTAGACTCCCCTAAAGTTCGTAGGTATATAATACTTAAATCCTTTAAGTTTAAAATATTATACTTAAACAAAAAATACTCTAATTAAATATAAAATATAAAATATTTTAAATTTTTCAACCAAAATTCATGTATGATTTTATTTCAACCAATATGATTTTATTTCAATATAATAATACAATAGAAC